TGCTGACGGTATTCGGTAACATTCTAGTGGTTCTATCCGTCGTCGTCTACAAACGGATGCGAACATTTACAAATATACTGTTGACCTCTTTAGCCACCGCAGGTAAGACAAAATGCTTTTTTGGTCATTCTGAAAGTAACTGGAAAAATGTTTGAAAATTAGACTCGACGGTTATTTTGTTGCTGCGGCTCTGACAATACTTGCGCGTAAGAAAATAGCCATATAGTTTACAGCTGCGCCTGCTACAAGGCTTTTTTCTGCACAAATGACACACCGCAGCTGCACAACATTTACCATGATAATTCTACAGTTTACAAGAATATTTACACAAAAACTAGAACACGAACTCAAGCCAAAAATAGAAAAATTTTCAATTTCGCAAGTTTTCTATAGTGTAAAACAAAATTTTGGTGTGCGTAATGATGAACAGTGAACCATCAAAGTTCGCTTCACTTTCTTGATATTAATTCTTTTGCTTCATTGAGAACCTGCATTGCCTCGTTGATAATGAAATGACAAATCTTTGATTTTTTTGCCAAAAATTGCACAAAATCTCAGAATACCTTTTTATATGAGAATTAAAGAGCAGAAACCTAAATTTTTTCTTCACATTTCGAATGTGGCTAATGTTTACTAGCTAAATCCAAAGTGAAACATTCAAATCTGTGAAGTGCTCGGTTATCTAATCACGATTAAAATCATGCATCGGAAAAGGTCCACGATCAAGGATTGGTACCATTATTTGAGTACCAATCATTCTCAAATATCCCCCTTTTTTATGAAAGAGATTGTGATTAGGTGACTTTTTCTTATAGCTTTTGTAGACTGCATTAAAATGCAGACTATTCTTCTTCTTTTTATCGTTTTAACGATTTTTATTTTCGATTGTTTTCATATTTGAATCCATCTATCTTGTTCTAGTCGCAATCTTTTGACCAAGAAACCTTCAGAATTTTGGTCACCACAATCACCGAAACGGAACTTGAATGTTTTTGAAACTTATCAGTCTAGAGCACTTCTTCAACTTTTGTTTCGTTAAAAACTTAGATTCACAACGATGGATTTTTGACAATTTAAGGACAAATCTTAAGAAACAGAAATTCTTATAGATCTTCTGGTGGGACTGCTGGTTATGCCGATGTCACTTCTAGATTTGCTCCATAATCATCGATGGCCTTTAGGTATTGTTTCTTTCTCAAAAGGTATGGTAAGATTGATTCATGGAGTTTATTAAGGAAAATTTTTGTGTGGATTATGGGCGACATCAGATGTTCTTCTGTGTACTGCTAGTATATTAAATCTGTGCGTGATCAGTTTGGATCGGTATATGGCCATTACCTCACCGCTTAAATATCCTCGTACACGGTTAGTTGAGATTTTCATTATATTTTTAGGCTTCAAATATAAAATCATTCCATGTCCCAAGTGAGGTAGGGTAATTGTCATTGTACATCTCATATCATAAACAACTAGTGAAATTGAAACTTTTCGTAGTTTTGACTTCTTAGTATTATACTTGCACTTGTACCATGATTAGACATTTTCTGCATTCCTTTGGCAAAATCTTTTGGACCACCAAATGCTAAGAAGCAACAGAAATCTCATTTCACAATTCCAAAAATAATACAAAAATACAGAACTATACAAAAATTTCCTTAACCTCATGAATAATGAGATAATAGCATACAGAGCATTTTTCAGTGTCATTTACCTTCCCAGTAATTATCTTGCACTCATACCATCATTGCAAATCTGTGTTTTCTTGGCACAATCGCGTAAATCGGCCCTAGGGAGCACCAGCAATCTTTTTGTCAAAATTTCAGAAAATAAAATTCCAAACAGTCTACAGGGTATTTACCTAGCAGATCCCAAAATATTCAATATCAGACTGTCCTCCAAAACCTTGCACTCATTCTTGTTTGCATGCTCTTGATATTTTGCGTAAAATAAGCTCACTGTCTGCTGCTAGCCGAGTTGCCAGATTCACATCATTTTGCGGCTCATTGAGCATGCTTTCATCGTTGCAGACATCCACAGCTATTTGTGTAGGCGACTGAGCAAGAAAAACTAGTAGGTAGATAGATTAGGCGACTGAACGAGGGATGCATGGGAAGAAATAATCTACCAAAAATCTTCAAAAATTAACTTGCACCATATTCTTCCTTTGTAACAGTGCTTTTGATTGCGCGTCTGTAGGTTTTTTTTTTCACAAAATCGAGTAATGAAGAATGAAAGTAAGAGTACTTATTTGTGAAGACATTCAATCAGCGCATTTCTTCGTATTTTCGTTTGGAAGAAGTAGCTCACATAACCAAAAGAACTAAAATAACATTTTGGACCCCGTCGCATCTGAACGAGCGACGTTAAAAAAGGAATTTGGATTATTTACATGAACTTGTATCGAAAAACCCTTGCGTGTGAACAAGAATTTTCCTTCGAGCAA